GCCATCACAGATTTCTTAGCCAAACATCCTGGGATGGTTCAGGCCGTTCCTTTGGACTATGTGGGGCTAAAACCTTAGCTGGTGACTTTCGATGGTTCCAGCGCCTCGAGAGCACCGGAGCAGGCGTGGTGACCTCCAGTCCAGAAAAAGAATTATGGCGCTTCGCCCACCAACTTTTGCAAGGTATCGCGAATAACCAAGCCAAATATGAGGTGTTTCTGGCATTGCAATTTTTTATTGCAAAGGATGTCAAGAAGGTCGTTGTTCAAGGGGATTCCTAACCGGTTATTTGACAGGCCTTCTAAGAATTCAAGTGCAAGGAACCACAAATTAAGAACCTTCTTTGAGAAGCCCACGACCTTCTTCAGCAGCTTACGGAAGTGATATTGGAGGACATACCTCGGGAAGAGAATTTAGAGGCAAATGACTTGGCGCAATGGGCTTCCGGATTTAAAAAAAGGAAAATACAACTAAAATAGTAATGTTTGCAGGCTGATCAGGACCCAGACTGGCAAACCCCACACCTGGAAGGTCTAACAGACCCTGGAAAGGTTGCTTCAAAAGCAGTGCGTCATCAGCTTCTAAAATACACTCAAATCGATGGAGAGCTATACCGACGGAGATCCGATTGGACTTTAGCATGTTGTCTGGGTCACGAAGATGCTATGAAGGTCATGGCTGAAGTCTACGATGGTGTTGAAGGTGGCTATAGGGCTTGACCAGTTATGAAGTGGACAATCATCCGTTACGGCTAATTTTGGCCACAAATCTGGCAGGATTGCGTTGATTATGCTCGAGAATGTCCAGCATGTCAGCGCCATGGACCACTTCAACGAGTCCCCGTAGAAGAACTTCATTTGATTATCAAACCTTGGTCTTTCCATGGGTGGGCGATGGACATCATCAGCAAGGTCCATCCTCCATCTTCCAAGGGAAACTCCTTCATTCTCGTAGCTACGGGCTACTTCACGAATTGGGCGGAAGCCGTTCCATTGGTCAGGGTACAACATAATCATGTCATACGATTTATTAAGAATAACATCATTCACAGGTTTGGCATTCCAAATATGATAACCACCGACTAAGGGACTGCATTTATGAGCGTGAAGGTCAAGGCTTTTACAGCCCGATACGGAATCCAGCTGCTCCATTTCTCTCCGTATTACCCTCAGGCTAATGGACAAGCCGAGGAAATGAACAAAGTTCTAGTTTCTATCATCAAGATGGGGCTGGAGGACAATCAGAGGGGTTGACATAAGACTTTGAAAGACGCTTTATGGGTATACCAGAGCGCCAAATCCTCCGTGACCGGCAGCACCCTTTACAGGCTGACTTAAGGTCATGACACCGTGCTTCCGTTAGAGATTACAGTGCCCTCTCTTCGAATTTTGAAGATGAACCAGCTGCCGATGGGAGAGCATGATCAGGCCCTACTCCAGGAGCTTAAAGCCTTGCCCGAAGAGAGACTGCAAGCTCTTGAATGCATTTAGCATCAAAAGAATAAGACCAAATCGACCTTCCAGAAGCACGTGAAGTCCCAGACCTTCCGGGAATGTGACATGGTCTAAAAGGCCAACCTCCCGGAAAACTCCAAAGACGCGAAGCTTGGAAAGTGGTCACCCACATGGGAAGAGCCATTTATCGTATCGGCTAAGTCTTCTAACGGTGCGTATAGGTTAATGGAGCCCGACGGAGATGAGCTGAAAATGCTTATCAATGGAAGACATCTTAAAAGGTTTTATCCTTCTCTTTGGGAGTTGAAATGAAGGCACAATCAGGTTGTGGTTGACTACGACCTTACGGAAGACGGAAACACTGTTGGTCAAGCCGAATAAGCAAAAATCAACCTTTCCGAATGCAGATCTTGGACGTTGGCTACCAGTAAGTAACCAGAAGGTGAACATAGCAGTGAAAAGGAGATTTTGGAATTGAAAAAAACCTTAGTGCGGGGCATGATACGTGGACGAGTTATTTTTATGGGAAATCCGAAATTTGCGTGCACCACTCAATTCAAACTTTGGGGAGCTTTAACAAAATTATCCAAACTACAAGTTAAATTTTGTCTAAATAATTTTGTGGGAGATATTTGTACACACCTAAAATTAATTGGATTGGCCCAGTACAAGTATAGCCAAAATCCTCGAGGTTCGCGGCCCAGCAGAAGGTCCAGATCAACGAGTGGGCTTGCGGACCAGATTAGCCCAAAGACCCAGCCGGCCTGGTGTATTTGGAGCAGTCAATTGATGAAAAAAGTGGAAGTGAAAGTGGTTGCAGTTGTTGAGAATACTTAGTGATAAAATCTTATCCAAACATAATTCAAAATAAACAGATAAGTGGAGCAAATCGGATCAGAGGGGACAAGAGGCCTTTCATCAATTTATCTTCTTTTTCTTTAATTTATTTTCTCTGCATTACTTTTCTGTATTTCTTCTATATTTTCTCAGGCTTTTCTTTAAATTAATTTACAACTTTCTTCTTTTCTTCAAGCTTTGTTCTTGTGTAAGCTGTTTTCTTTTTACATTAATTTTTCGATCATTGCGAGATAGCTCGGATCCTTTCTTGAGTAGGCTAGGGAACCCTTCGAAACAAATCGATTCTGGCAAGCTTCCGATTAAGCCGTCAGAAGTGATTTTTTGAAGACAACACAATTGTTCATCGAAATTGATATATTCTATAAACCGGTATGATTAAAAAAAATTAAATAAATATAACAAATATAATAAAAAAAAATCTAGAGTGTGTTTGTTTTGTGTTTTGGTTTGAAGAAATTTTTTTAATATGAGGTATACGAAATATTGTAGATAATATAAAAAATAATGAATGTGTATAGTATATTAATTTTTTTAGAAAAATATATTTCAATATTCTTGTTATTTGATATTTTTTGCATCTGGCATTATTTCTTTTGCATCTTCGTCTGGAAAAAAAAATTAAAAAGTATCAGTATTGTGAAAAAAAATTAGGAAATTAAGACATGAAAACAACACATTCAAAACTAAAATAAAAAAAATATGTACACATAATAATCTTGTTATTTGATATTTTTTGTTTCTTCCACGGCCATTTGCATATAGTTTATAAATATAATAGTGATGAAAACTTTTTGAGGAATAAATTTTTAAGTTACACTTTGACATAAGCCATGTTTTTTAAAAAAACTGTCAAAGTGTGATTTAAAATTCTAGCCTCCAAAGTAGTTTTCAAAAATACTATATTTATAAATTATAATAGTTTCAGAACTTAACTTTTTAAAATTTAGGAGCTTTTAAAAATTTTAAATTATTAAATATAGTAGTTTTTAAAACTAATATAAATATTTTTATGAGAAATAAAAATAAATATCATAATTTGAAAAACCCAAAATCTCTTATTTTCTTCCATGGCGTTATCTTTTTAGCCATTCTCCAGTGCCGCTGGTGCAGCTCTTCTACCGCCGATCTTGGTAATCAATTTTCCAATTTTTTTGTCCATTCATTCTATTTTGTTTATTTGTTGGTTTGGAATATACATTTGGTGGGCGGAGAGATTAATGTAAAAATTGATAAAATTATTGTTCTAAATCTTTGTGTTTTGAATTGATTAGTTTCATATAAATTCGAATTTCACTTCTCTTTTCTCTAAAATCAACACTTCTCTCACTATATCCCTAATTTCCGATCGGATTGTTGAAAATTTTTGAAAGTTCAGTTCACTGTCTATGTTGTGCACCACTTCAATCCGGGTTGTTCACTAGCATCTTCTTCACATGGTATCATCTTATTTATTTTATTATTATTTTTACTATTTCTTATTGTATAATGATTTAATTTTCAAAAATTTTATTTATCATATTTGAAATTTTTTTTGGTATATATATTTTTTCTAATTTTGTGATATTGCATATTTTGATTGTTGTATTTATTTTTATACCATTTTGCTAATAGTAGTACCTTGAGTTATTATAATTTTTATACATTAAAAATTTATAGGAGTTTATATTTGTATTCAAGTGGTTATATTTGAACTTTGACAATTAAAGTCCAAAATTAAGCTTCATGCCAAAAGAGGAAATTTGTAATTTTCTAGCATCACTGATGAATTTATTTGGCACTACTCTTCATAGCTACTTTGACTTCCTTCAATTCTCTCACTTGCGCGCACACACACATGCACAAAATAATAAGAAATGTAAAGGAGATGGATGATAATAGAAAGTGATCCTGTTGGAAATAATTATTAAATCATAGCATAAACAAACTAGATAATTAAACCAATCTCAAGCTATTGCTAATTAAATCATAATTAAATTATATTATTTTTTATTTTTGTTCGTTTCAAAACAAAGATACTATTTCTTAATTTAGTAACTGTACTATCTGCTTAACATAATAAATATATTTACAACTTACAATATATTACACAAATATCATTAATTTTATAACACATCATATTAATAACGGTATTTTATCTTTTTTACTACAAACTAATATAATATTAATATTCAAAAATTTACGTGCAAAAATAAATGGTGCTATGTTGAACGGAGTAAATATATTAGATTAGATTAGATTTATATGTATATATAAATTCAATATAGGAGCGGTAAAGAAATATAGCCATTAAAGGAAACATAGGTTTTAGGATTTATTTGAATTATATTGATATTGATTTTAATTTTAATTTTAATAAAATATTCATAGTAATTTTAAAATTTACTATATTTAATAAGTTAAAATTTTTAAAACTCTTAAATTTAGAAATGAGAGTTTTAGAAACTGCTATAAATTATAATATAATAATTTTGAAAAATCGTTTGGAAATTAAATTTTTAAATTATATTTGAATTAGATCATTTCTTTTTTAAAAAGAACCCCACGGTCCATCTCCTCCGCAAAATATTATCCCCAAAACAAAGTTAAAGGAGATTAATTGGAACACGTGTCATGCTTTCAGATGAGCCAAAATTTTAGAGTACCATCTTTGACAATTCCCACAATAATTGGACAGGCCTCAAATTTTCCCCATTGTAAAGAACAATTAAAAAAAGAACGAAGCCCAAAAGAGGAACCAATGATGATCAGTTTTCCCAACGACAAATAGAAGAAAGAGCCCCCCGATGTACGATGATTCTGTTAAATATTCGAACCTGGTCAGGTCAACCGATGAATCAACAAGCAGGCAGCAGCGCAGCCATTGAAGAAGGAGCAAGAAAGCTTCAACCACTTTAATTTGCTGCTGTTCTTCACCACCAACAAAATCAAATCATGGAATCCCTCTGCCCGCCGCCAAGATTTTATCGAGTATTTCTCATCGCCATTGCTTTTCTTTCGCTCCCATCTGCCCTCCACGCCGCCAATCAGGTATATATATATATATGTTTGTGTATTTTTTAATACAGAGATAACAGAGTCCTTAAAGTGGATTTGAAAGAGGGTTTCGATTTCTCCCTCTTCTTCTATATCTATCTGTCTGTTGATTCCCTAATTTCGAAAGTGATACTTTGGGGGATTGGGATTGGGGTTTAGGAAATCAGGAGTGGCTGCTGTTTGCGATTACATGTTTTATTCAACTCATTGTATTCGACTCATATACTTTGTGTTCTTTAAGGTTTGGATTTTTTATATAAGAATTGGGAATAGTAAAATTTTGAACTGAACTAATGAAATTATTTTTGTTTTTTCATAATATATTAAGCTTAATATAGGCATTTGATTAACTGTATCACCATGCCAAAACGAGAGTTCAAAGAATTAGAGCTATTAACATGCTGTTATTGCATATTACGACTAGTTATTTATGTATGAAATGTTGACTCATTGTGCCTATTAAATCGATACACTCTGTTTCTTGTTGTTGTTGTTGTTGTTATTAATTCAGAATTTTGTATGTTATGTATGAATTGCTTCTGGATATGGAGTTTTGTGATGCTGGGGTTGGTTTCGACAACTTTGGCTGTGGGGCTTCGTCTTCGTATCCTGCAAAGATTCTGATTAAGGGAGGAACTGTAGTGAATGCTCATCATCAAGAGGTTACTGATGTATATATCGAAAATGGTCTCATTCTCGCCGTCACAAAAGATTTAGTGGTATTAACTCCATCCATGTTTCTTTCTGAATGAGATATCCGAGTTTTTATGCTGTCTGATACTGTTGTTGTCTCAAACTTCAGGTTGGAGATGATGTGAAGGTCATCGATGCCACCGGAATGTATGTCATGCCAGGTATATATATATATATATATGTGTGTATACGAATCAATGGCTCAATTATTTTGTGTTTTTTACTCCAGGAGGGATCGATCCACACACGCACTTGGCTATGGAGTTTATGGGCACAGAAACGATTGACGACTTTTACAGCGGGCAGGCAGCCGCGCTAGCCGGTGGTACTACGATGCACATTGATTTTGTGATACCCGTGAATGGGAGCTTATCTGCCGGGTACGAGTCTTATGTGAAAAAGTCTGCGCCGTCTGTCATGGATTACGGCTTCCACATGGCCATCACAAAATGGGACGACACTGTTTCGAGGGAGATGGAGATCATGGTCGCGGAGAAAGGTGGGCCTCGAAGAAACAATTATATGTATATATATATATATATGAATCTGTTTCGAGATGAATTCTGACTGTTGTAGCAGCTGCTCTCCTCTGCAGGGATCAATTCGTTTAAATTTTTCATGTCGTACAAGGGGTCGTTCATGATCAGCGACGAGCTTCTGATTGAGGGGTTCAAGAAATGCAAAGCTCTCGGTGCCTTGGCCATGGTCCATGCCGAGAACGGCGATGCCGTGTTTGAAGGGCAGAGAAGGATGATCAAGCTCGGGATCACCGGCCCTGAGGGGCACGCACTCTCGAGGCCGCCTGTGGTGATCTATTTACTGCAAATGCTCATAGCTCGATGTAGTCGATGATATGTTGACTTGTGCTTATATATCGTCGATGCAGCTGGAGGGCGAGGCGACCAGTCGAGCGATACGTTTAGCTCGTTTTGTGAATACGCCTCTGTACGTTGTTCATGTCATGAGCATCGACGCAATGGAAGAAATCGCCAAAGCGCGTAAATCAGGTCGATAAATAGGAATTCGTCGTAACCGTCTTCTACTAATGTAAACGAGTAAATTGCGAGCCCTGTTTTTGTACGTTCAGGTCAGAAGGTTATCGGGGAGCCAGTGGTTTCCGGTTTACTTCTGGATGATTCCGTCCTCTGGAATCCCGACTTCCAGATAGCAGCGACGCAAGATTCTCTCATCTTTCGACCATTTTAGACCGTTGGTTTCCTTACAAGATCGCGCACTGACAATGAGATTCCTTTTTTGTAGGTTTGTTATGAGCCCGCCGATCCGAGCAGCTGGACATGGTAAGGCCCTTCAAGCAGCGCTCTCGACAGGCGTTCTACAGCTAGTAGGAACCGATCATTGCACCTTCAACTCGGCGCAGAAAGCTCTGGGGATCGATGACTTCCGCAAAATCCCCAACGGGGTTAATGGTAACTAGAAGTGTTCGGGTGGTCTTCGCCTACCCTTAATCATGGCAATGACCGTCTTTTTTCCTGCAGGTCTCGAGGAAAGAATGCATCTGATTTGGGACGCTATGGTGGTACATACTCAGATATTTTAGATATTCAGTCTATAGATTTAGATTTAATCTTATTTATAGATTAGGTTACTTAAATTTATTTGAGTTTACAGAGGCTCTTATTTTGACAATCAATAAGACAATTTTATTATTTTCCTTCAAAATTTTAAATTTTTAAAACGGTATCGGAACCTATTTTTCTCTTATTGTGAGGGTTTTTTACTAGAGCCTTATTCTTGATGCGTCGTGATTTCTGCTCTTGCAGGTGTCGGGACAATTATCCGTAGCTGATTTTGTCCGTGTGACGAGCACGGAATGGTACGGTAAATTTCATTTCCTAACGCTGTCTTATCACTCGGCAACCTCATTTTGCTTGCGGTTTCGTCCCCTTTGGCAGCGCGCGGCTTTTCAATATTTATCCGAGAAAAGGCGCAATACAGGTAGGCTCGGATGCGGACATCATTATACTCGACCCAAATTCGACATTTGAAATCAGTTCGAAACGGCATCACTACCGAACAGACACTAATGCCTATGAAGGTCGGAAAGGGAAGGTACCGGCGACCAACTTGTGCATCTCAATTCCGACGTTTTTTCTGCGTGGAATCGGTCACGTTTGTTTGTTTTTTTTATTCGACAGGGAAAAGTAGTTGTGACTATAGCCGGAGGGAGGATCGTATGGGAAAACGACGAACTGAAGGTTGTTCGTGGCGCCGGTAGGTATGTGGAAATGCGACCCTTCAACTACCTGTTTGAAGGGATAGATAAAGCTGATGCCGACTACTTGTCGTCCCTAAAAGCTCCGGTGAGACGGGCGGCGCGTGCAGCCACGTCATCCTAGCTTCTGGTTTCTGTTTCAGATGGTAATGTGAAGTTCAGAAATGTGTTTATTCCCCCATTGATAGATATACTTCAAACTGGTATCTGAAAGACTACACATTGGCTTACATTCAAAATTTACTATAAAAGAAATGTATAATATTATTATTTTCCACCATTCATACTTAATGTTATATATTTTATTACTTTGAGTGTTTTATAATATATATATATATTTTAATTTAATGAATTATTTGGTGTGACCACACGACAAAATATATATATATTTATATAATATATACATATTTACACTATATGTAAATATATATTTTACTCAATTTAAAAACAATGTCAATAATTTTAAAAACTTCAAACTCAAAATACTAAACACACTTTACTTTTACATAAACAATAAAATACTTTTACACTTTACAATTAATGTACTCGTACTATATAAGTTAATCATAATTAATATATTTAGATCGCTTATGGTTGTAAGTACAAATTTGAGTTTGTTGGCTACTAATTCACTTCGGGTGTGTTTGTTTGAAGGATTTTGGAGGATTTCTACTATTCATCCAATTTTTTTCCCCCAAAAACATCACATCAAACATCTATTTTTTCATTTTTTATATTATACTAAAAATCAATTTTACATTCAAAACATATTCAAATCCCAATCCAAAATCCAAACCCCCAGACAAACACACCCTTCGTGTATAAGTCATGAATGTTTTATTTCACCATCACATATCGTGGACATGTATCATACATTATGATGAATTCTTCATCATTCTTATCTTCATCCTTCGTCATTATATATATACATATTACATACATATAAGGTAATTATTACATAGTAACATATATACATACATATAAGGTAATTATTACATTTCTCGATAAAGAAAAAGTAATCGTTATATTTATATATACTTATCGCACATACAAAAAACATACATATCTACATATATATATATATATATAATATACATACATTTAATTAATATATATAGAATGCATTTCCATATATTTTATATACAATATATAATTTACTGATTAGCGGTAAAAATAATTAATATTTTTATTAGTTAATTTTATATTAATATTACAATATATTATCAGCACAATTATATATTTTATTTTTCGCAAAGTAATATTTTATATTTTATCTGTTTATTATATCTAACATTGCCAAACATAAATTTCTCTATCTCCTCGTTTCTGGCCAAAATTATATGGCATGGGCTCGTGACTTGAAAATGCATTTAGCATCAATTGGCTTGAAAAATATCATTGCCCAGAATAAAAATTTCTCGAGCCAAAATCGTGCAAATGTCATGATCTTTTGGTGTCATCACATTGATGAGGAACTGAAAATGCAGTATGTCACGTTGAAATCCCCACTTAAATTGTGGGAGAGATTGGAAGAAAGATACGATCATATGAGGTTGACTATGTTGCTAAGGGCACGAAGCGAATGGCAAAACCTACGGCTTCAGGATTTTAAAACAGTCCAAAAATATAATTCTCTCATGTTTAAAATAACATCACAGTTGCGCCACTGTGGCGAAAATATATCTGAATCTGATATGATGGAGAAAACTTTCTCCACTTTTCATGTCTCTAACATATCTTTTGCTGGCCGAACAAAATAATAAATTGCTATTAAAATATCACGAATCTCGGCCGACAGGTGCAAATCCATTCCCGAGGCAAATGCAATACAACCGGTAAATCCGATGCGTGGTTGTGGGGAAGTCAGAAATCAGCGAATTGATTGCGAGCGAAATCAGAATTGCGGACGGGGCCAGAAAAACGCATACAGTCACAATAATTATCAAAATAGGCCCCGATATGTGTCAAATCCACGTTATAATGATAGAAGATCATACAGACCTTAACAGAGGTTCAACACTGGGAGAAACAGAAACAATGACGAGGAGTGCACCCAGTGTGGAATCAAAGGTCATTGGGCCCATGTTTGTCGCTCAGCCAGTCACTTGGCTGAATTGTATTGGGCCTCAAAAGAAAGGCAGGGAAGAATTGCCCCCAAAATAAATCACGCTGCTCACGATGACACATTTGATGATGTGATTAATGAAAATATCATGCACCTAAATGCCGATGATCTGCTCGACATAGCTGATGATATTAAATGATGAAATATTGTATTTTCTTTGTTATTTTGATGTTTTTATGCCCCCTTTTTGTATTACCCCTATAATATAAGTTTATTTTGATTATGTTACTAATACATATCTTTTTTTAATTTTTATCTTCTTGCAAAGATATGGATGCCAAATATTTTGGAGCCAATGACAATATCTGCCTTATCGACAGTGCTACAATTCACAACATTCTGAAAAACAAAAGTTATTTCTCCTATCTAAATATGTGAAAGACCACTATCGTTACTATCAGTGGTGCATCGAAAATGATTGAAAGCTCAGGTTAAGCTATTGTATTTTTCCCTAAAGGGACAAAAATGGCAATTGAAAATACTCTATTCTCGAGCAAAGCTTGAAGAAATTTATTGAGCTTCAGTGATATTAGGAAAAAATGATATCACATTGAAACATTGAATGAGACATAAAATGAGTATCTCCTGATAACTCAGATTGTGAATGAATAAAGAATTATTAAAGAAAAACTGCCATCATTTTCTTTTGGCTTATATCATTCAAGATTCAGTGCCGTTGAAACATATCACCTAGTAGAGCGAATGGCTACGAGTGAATTTCAAACTTGGCACGATCGACTTGGGCATCCTGGCAATGTAATGCTGAGGCGAATTATTAAAAATTCAAATGGTCACCCATTGAAAAAGAAAAATATTTTGAGTCCGAATGAGTTTGCTTGTGCTGCATGTTCCCAAGGGAAGTTAATAATCAGACCATCTCCAACAAAGGTTGGATTTGAATCTTCAGCTTTTCTAGAAAGAATTCAGGGTGATATTTATGGACCAATAGATCCACCGTGTGGACCCTTTAAATACTTTATGGTACTAATTGACGCGTCAACTTGATGGTCACACGTATGTTTGTTATTTACTCGCAATCTGGCTTTTTCTAGATTACTTGCACAAATAATTAAAATGCGAGCACAATTTCAGGATCACCCGATAAAGAAAATACGTTAATATAATGTTGGAGAGTATTCATCACATACATTCGATGATTACTGCATGTCAATTGGGATTATTGTGGAACATCATGTTTCGCATGTACATAAGCAAAATGGCATGGGTGAGTCCCTTATCAAAATATTGCAATTAATTACTAGACCATTGTTAATGAGGTCTAAACTTCCTGTATCAGCTTGGGGACATACTATATTGCATGCAGCATCCTTCGTGAAAATAAGACCAACAAGTTATCACTGTTATTCCCCTACTCAATTGGCATCTGGTAAAGTACCAAATATATCTCACTTGAGAATTTATGGGTGTGTTGTTTATGTGTAAATTGCGCCACCTCAACGCACAAAATGGGGACCTCAAAGAAGGTTGGGTATATATGCCAGGTATGAATCACCCTCGATTGTGAAATATCTTGAACCAACAACGGGTGATTTATTTACTGCAAGGTTTGCAGACTGTCACTTTGATGAATCTCATTTCCCGACATTAGGGGGAGACAGTAATCAACTAAAAAAAGAAATTTTGTGGAAAATACCACTTTATTTTGATCCTCGTACAAAACATAGTGAAATTGAAGTTCAAAGAATTGTGCATTTGCAGAAAATTGCAAATCAATTGTTTGATATGTTTAATGATGTTGCCAGAGTTACGAAATCATATATTGTAGCAGCAAATGCACCAGCTAAAATAAATATCCCGAAAGGAAAGGTGCCGAGTGCTAATGAGCATACTGCCCGCGTAAAACTGGCAGGTCATTGGGTTCCAAGGATAAGAATCCACGAAAGAAGAAAATTATAAATACCGGTGAAGAGATCAACAATGATCAGATACCTGAAAAGGTCGGTACAACCCCTGAAGATGTTGGTACTAAAAATTCTGATGAAAGTGATGATGAAGTTATTGAAACTTCTGTTAAAAATACCACCAGTGGAAAATATTGGAACAGAAAGAAAACCAATATTGATAATGCTTTTGCATATTCTGTAACACTTGATATAATGAAAGATGACGATGATTATAAACCAAAAATCAGTTGATGAATATCGGAAAAGAGATGATTGGGCAAAATGGATAGACACAATTAAGTCTGAATTGGACTCATTGAATAAACGACAAGTATTCGACTCTACAATCCAAACACCTGTAAATGTAAAACCTATTGGCTACAGGTGGGTGTTTGTGAGAAAAAGAAATAAAAATAATGATATCACAAGATATAAAGCAAGACTTGTATCCTAGCGTTGAGACTGGGTATTGATTTTGAAGAAACATATTCGTCGGTCATGGATGGAATAACATTCAGGTATGTGGTGAGTTTGGAAGTACACAATAATCTTGATATGCGATTAATAAATGTGGTTACTGCCTATCTTTATGGCTCCTTAGACAATGACGTCTACATGAAATCCCGAAAAGGAATTAACATACCTGAATCATTCAAATCAAAGCTAAAAGAATTATACTCCATCAAATTGCAAAAATCTTTGTATGGGCTCAAGCAATCAGGCCGAATAAGGTACAATCCTCTTAGCGAAAGCTTAACAAAAGAAGGTTACATAAATGTCCTTATTTGTCCATGTGTTTTCATAAAGAAAAACGGGTCTGAATTTGTCATCATCGTTGTATATGTCGATGATCTCAATTTGATTGGAACTCCTGATGAAATTCAGAAAGCTGTTGAATATCTGAAAAAAAAAAAAAAAAAAAGAGTTTGAGATCAAAGATTTTGGAAAAATTAAATTTTGCCTTGGTATGCAAATTGAGCCCTTGGAAAGTGGAATCTTCATCCACTAATCAAATTATACCAAAATGGTAGTAAAACAGTTGTTGATGGATAAATCACATCCGCTAAGTACCCAATGATCGTCAGAGCACTTGATCCAGCAAATGATCCTTTTAGACCGAAAGAGGAAAATAAAAAAAACACTTGGCCCTGAAGTGCCATATATGAGTGCTATAGGTGCATTAATGTATCTTGCCAACAACACCCGACCTGATATATCATTTCTGTAAATCTATTGGCAAGATTAAGCTCATCGCCTACTCGAAGACATTGGAATGAGA